TTATTTGATTGTTTTTTTTGTTTTTGTTAGTTTGTTTGTTTCATTGTTTATGATTTTATTGGACCTCCTCTCTGTTTATATACATATTTCATTATTTCTTTCGTTCTATAATTCTTTAACCATATATATATTTCTTTGTTTACCTGGCTAGGACGTTCATAAGCGTACTTGGCCTTCTACAGGTGACCATAGCCAAAGGTGTGTGGGCCAACCTATAAGTGAGGGTAGAAACATATTTACTTAGGTTCTTTATTGAGTCTTAGGTGCTGTTGATGAGCTGTCGTGAGGACGGAATTTTAAGTGATATGTTTATTTAGTGTTAATTCTTTTTTTGTTTATTGTTAGTAGTAGTAGTAGTGTTGTTTTTGCTGTTGTTGATATTATTATTGTTGTTATTATTATTATTATTAAGCACTGTGATAAAAATACCCCCAAAAAAATGGTAATAACTAACAAATAAATAAATTAAACAACAGATAAACAAAATAAATAAGGAATAAGTAACGAAAGCTTCAGAAATAAGTAATACTAAATAAGATCTTTTCTCATATTACACAAGTCACCCTTCTTATATCATCAACCAAATGACAGAAAACGTAAAATAAAAATCACTCACAATAACAACAGAGAGACAGTTCTTAAAATACCTTATATGGCTTCAAGGTCAGGTGCAGGGGGTGGGGGGGTGGGGTGGGGTGGGGTGGGGCAGGGGCAGGGGTGGGGCGGGAAGGATTTAGAGAGAGAGAGAGAGAGAGGAAGATGATAAGGGAGAGAGCAAGTGTGAGAGAAAGAGTGAGAAAGTGAGATAGAGAGAGATGGTGAGAGAGAGATACTAAAAGAGAGAAAGAGAGAGGAGAGAGAGAGAGATACAAGTAAGAGAGAAACAGAGAGAAAGAGAAAATAAATAAACAGGAAGAAGAAAGATAAACCAACAACATTATAGGATTAAACCACCATCCCATTAAACCACCATCCCGTTAAACCACCATCCCATTAAACCACCATCCCATTAAACCACCATCCCATTAAACCACCATCCCATTAAACCACCATCCCATTAAACCACCATCCCGTTGTAAGTGTGTTGTAAGTGTTTTATATCTACTTGAGACATACTTAACGAGGTGTCTTGTTTAGGTACGGGTTAATATAAAGGTATTTTCTATTACTTCAGGGTCATGCAGTACGCTATATCACTTATGAGAGAGAGAAAGAGGTGTGTGTGTGTGTGTGTGTGTGTGTGTGTGTGTGTGGAAGAAGTAGAGACAGTCAAAAAGAAAGGCAGGCAGTGTGAGACAGACAGACAGAGATATAGACAATGTATGGCGAACAGACAGACAGACAGACAGAGAGATACAGAGAGACAGAGAGATGAGAGAGAAAGAATAAAGATGAAAAAAGAGAGAATGTGTTTGAGGAACAGACAGACAGACAGACAGAGAGACAGACAGACAGACAGACAGACAGACAGACAGACAGACAGACAGACATTAAAATTGCTAAAATAATTCTACCTTATTTTCTCCCTTTAAATCTTCTCCTTTCTTTATTTCTTCTCCTTGTGTTTCCTCTTTTTTTTTTGCTTCTCTTTCTATATATACCATCATCATCTTTCTCTTCTCCTTCTTACCCTTTCTTCTTCTCCTTTCCCTTCTACCTCTACTTTCTCCTTTATCTACTCTCTGTCATCATGGCTCGTTCACCTGTTCCTAATTACCAGTGGATCACCAGGTATAATCCAGGTATTATCTCCATATAACTAGCGACCTGATTCTTCTACCTGTTACTTTCACCGAGTCATAATCTCTCTCTCTCTCTCTCTCTCTCTCTCCTACACAAGTGTACACTCCTTCTACTAACATCACCAACACAACGGTAGAGCTTTTTACACCTTCCTCCAACACCCCTACACCCTCCTCCAACACCCCTACGGCCTACACCCTCCTCCAACACCCAGTACACCCTCCTCCAACACTCCTAACCCTCCTCCAACACCCTTGCACCTCCTCAACACCCCTAGTACCCTCCTCCCAACACCCCTACACCCTCCTCCAACACCCAGTACACCCTCCTCCAACACCCCTACACCCTCCTCCAACACCCTCACACCCTCCTCCAACACCCCCAGTACACCCTCCTCCAACACCCCCAGTACACCCTACTCCAACACCCCTACACCCTCCTCCAACACCCAGTAGCCCTTAACACAGCCCTCCAACGCCTCCCTTCACCGACTTCTTCAGGATAATTGTACCCCCGTTCTTCCTGTAGGTGGGATGTGTATGTAACCAGGGTGTGTATAATCAAGGTCTGTAACTGGCTGTTTTCGGCAGGTAATGTCTAGTTAGTGACGTCATCAGTTGTTTGTAAATATTGACTTTTTTCATGTTTTTTGTTTCTTTATATTGTGTAATTTCTTTCTTACTGTTCGTCTTTTTTTTCGTGAAGGTCATAGTGAGAGACAGACAGACAGACAGACAGACAGAGAAAAAGACACGGACACAGACAGACAGACAAAGAGACAGGGAAAGAAACAGAGAAAACATCACAAAACAAATCATCTCTATCTAAACCTTTCACAAACAACCAAAAAACATCTAACTCATTAACTAATAAAATAACCTAACTAATTAACCTGGTCATCAGAACAAATGGCTGACGATCTTCACAAAACCTAAGAATAAAAAATAAAAAATACATCATTCACCTTTTATTTTCCTCTTGTTTCTGATCAGTTATTCATTTATTTTTTGTATCATATATCACTTTATAGCTACGTTATCCTGCATCAACCTCTAATATAAAATAAAGATTAAGTATTAAATGGTAGAAAATATATATACTTAGTCAAATGAGAATTAATAATATTTTAAATGAATTGTGTTTACATTGGTCAGCTGTTTTGTCTTTGTGTTGGTTAGTTGTTTTTTTTGTGTATGTTGGTCAGCTGTTCTTTGTTTATTATGGTCAGCTGTTCTTTGTTTATTATGGTCAGCTGTTCTTTATTTATAGTGGTCAGCTGTTCTTTGTTTATTATGGTCAGCTGTTCTTTGTTTATTATGGTCAGCTGTTCTTTATTTATAGTGGTCAGCTGTTCTTTGTTTATTATGGTCAGCTGTTCTTTGTTTATTATGGTCAGCTGTTCTTTGTTTATTATGGTCAGCTGTTCTTTATTTATAGTGGTCAGCTGTTCTTTGTTTATTATGGTCAGCTGTTCTTTGTTTATTATGGTCAGCTGTTCTTTATTTATAGTGGTCAGCTGTTCTTTGTTTATTATGGTCAGCTGTTCTTTGTTTATTATGGTCAGCTGTTCTTTGTTTATTATGGTCAGCTGTTCTTTGTTTATTATGGTCAGCTGTTCTTTGTTTATTATGGTCAGCTGTTCTTTATTTATAGTGGTCAGCTGTTCTTTGTTTATTATGGTCAGCTGTTCTTTGTTTATTATGGTCAGCTGTTCTTTATTTATAGTGGTCAGCTGTTCTTTGTTTATTATGGTCAGCTGTTCTTTGTTTATTATGGTCAGCTGTTCTTTGTTTATTATGGTCAGCTGTTCTTTGTTTATTATGGTCAGCTGTTCTTTGTTTATTATGGTCAGCTGTTCTTTATTTATAGTGGTCAGCTGTTCTTTGTTTATTATGGTCAGCTGTTCTTTGTTTATTATGGTCAGCTGTTCTTTATTTATAGTGGTCAGCTGTTCTTTGTTTATTATGGTCAGCTGTTCTTTGTTTATTATGGTCAGCTGTTCTTTGTTTATTATGGTCAGCTGTTCTTTGTTTATTATGGTCAGCTGTAGGTGAAAGAAGAGTAAAGTCATACCACAAGATCGTACTTCATTCCTGAGTCATCCCAGCACCTTCACCTCCTCACACTCCTCACCTAACCTTCTCTCACTCCTTCCTCCCATCCTGCTGGTCATCCCATCCCATCCCATGTGCAGTGTTTGTCAAGGAAAGGTCACCATGACTATTGAAAATTAAGGAGACACTTATTCAATTTTTTTTTCTTCTTCTCGTCCGCCTCTCTTTTCTTCCATATTAATCAGGATTAAATAACTGTACACAGAGAGTCATCACCTTCTGCCTGTCTAGCCAATGGTTCCCCTCCTCCTCCTCCTCCTCCTCCACCTTCTTCTTCGTCAGACCACGCCCCTTCAGGTTGGTCGTCTGGGGCAGCGTCTGGGGGTATATAAAGGCAAACCTCTACCATCTGGGCATCATAGTCACCGTAGCTCCCTCACCCACACCACACACAGACTCCAGACATGATGCTCGTAAGTTTGGACCCACACCTGTGATCTTCTGTTACTTGTGGTTAACTTTTCTCTTGGTTAATACTGAGTTCTATTATTATGTTGAAGATATCTATTACCGTCAACATAATGCATACGTTTACATTAACATCAGTCGTCACGACCACAAGTCAACATTAACACCAGTCACTGTCAACACCAGTTACTTTTAACACTACTCACCACCAGTCACCTTCGCTCTCACCAGTCATTCATTATTTCAACAGTTGGCAGTCATCTTACAACAGCAGCAGTTGTCACCCGTCGCCTCTCACAAGATCTTGATAATTTCTCTAATGAAAGACTCTGTTAAAACTGTCCACGATCACATCTCTAGTGTAAATATTTGTCATCGTAAGAACAAACACTTTTATGCACATTTCTGAGTCATTTAATTAAACAAGACTCACCTTTACCTGGACAGCTTACCCACCAGTGATCCTCGCCAACACCTACATACAGTAGCCGGTGTGAAGGTTCCAGTTTTGTCCTTTGTCAAAAAACAAGTTATATGTTTTTACTGCATCTCCTTAAAGCTGCTAACGTACAGTACTTTGTAGAAAGACGTAACATTTCTGGACGACGATCAAAGACAATAATCATTTGTTGTTACTTCTTCAGGTCCTCCTCGCCTGCCTGGCCGCCCTGGCCGTCGCTGCCCCTCAGTTCGATAATTCGCCGCCCGTAGCGATCCTCCGTGACGACCGTGTCGACAATGGTGACGGCAGCTTCCAATATGCCTTCGAAGCCGACAACGGCATCGCCGTGGAAGCCTCCGGCACCCCTGGCAGCCAAGGACAGAGCAACATACAGGGCGTCTTCAGGTGAGGAGGTTTCCACATATGATAGTCCATTGCCCTTAAAGGATTCTTCACAATTATAAATGTGGGCTGTAATGAAATAAAACCAAGAGCTGAGAAAATATATTTCATTGCTAATGGGAGGATTTCCGTTACATACAGTACAGTAAACTGACGTCCATTATCCAAATTCTTTTGCCACCTTCCCACCCGCAAGATGTATTCTTTTTGAAGACCATCGGTGAAAACTGTCCATTTCTTTTCTCAGGTTCCCCCTCTCCGACGGCAGCATCGCTGAGGTCCGCTACATCGCCGACGAGAACGGCTTCCAGCCCCAGTCTCCCCTGCTGCCCACCCCTCCCCCCCTCCCTGCCCACGCCATCGAACAGATCCGCTTCGCCGAGGAACAGCGCGCCCTCGGTGTTGTATTCGAGTAAAACTGTGTCATCTACCCACCTTCACCACCACAAATTCTTTACAATATCGCTCAAAACAGAACTGAATACCCTTATAAACACTATGAAAATGGGTTGAATTATATTACTAATAAAACATAACTAAACTTACTGAATTTTATGTCCCTATATTAAGAATGGTAAAGAAACTTAGAAAATTTCATGGCATTTCAATCACTTTCTAATACATCTTATTGATATATAATTCCTTTCATAACTTAGGTAGATATAACCTATGTGGGACAGTCTCTCAGTAATGTATGCACCTGTAACATAACACAGCAAGGTAAGAGTGCAGTAATGACCCGCGGACCAGGTGAGAGAGCTTACCTGTCCTGACTTCTCTGTCAGTAATACACGACCCAATCTCTCTCAAGTTCTCTGAGTGACCATTAACTTCTCTGAGTGACCATTAACTTCTCTGAGTGACCATTAACTTCTCTGAGTGACCATTAACTTCTCTGAGCGACCATTAACTTATCTGAGTGACCATTAACTTCTCTGAGTGACCATTAACTTCTCTAAGTGACCATTAAATTCTCTGAGTGACCATTAACTTCTATGAGTGACCATTAACTTATCTGAGTGACCATTAACTTCTCTGAGTGACCATTATCTAAGTTCACTGCGTCATCCTCCTTTCTCATCCCAGATCCCAGCTCTCCACCCACTGCATGCCCACACTCCACCCACTACACGCCCACACTCCACCCACTACACGCCCACACTCCACCCACTACACGCCCACACTCCACCCACTACACGCCCACACTCCACCCACTACACGCCCACACTCCACCCACTGCACCCCCGCCCCATCCTGCGCCCACACTCCACCTACTGAACGCCCACGCCCCATCCACTATACGCCCACACCCCCACCACTGCACGCCCACGCCCCATCTGCTTTACGCCCACGCCCCATCCGCTTTACGCCCGCCCCACCACTGCACACCCACCCACTACACGCCCACCCACACCCCCACGCCCCATCCACTGCACGCCCCATCCACTTTATGCCACGCCCCACCCACTGCACGCCCGCCCCACCCACTGCGCCCACACTCCACCCACGACACCCACACCCCTGCACCCCCACGCCCCATCCACTGCACGCCAACGCTCCATCCACTGTACACCACACCCCATTCAATGCACGCCCACACTCCACCCACTACACGCACACCCCACCCACTGCACGCCCACGCCCCATCCACTGTACGCCCACCCCAACCCACTACACGCCCACCCCCATCCACTTTACGCCCACGCCCCATCAATGCACGCCCACACCCCATCCACTGCACGCCCACACCCTATCCACTGCCACGCCCCATCCACTTTACGCCCACACTCCACCCACTACACGCACACGCCCCACCCACTGCACCCCCACACCCTATCCACTGCACGCCCACACCCCATCCAATGCACGCCCACACCCCATCCAATGCACGCCTACTCCCAACTCACTGCATGTCCATACCATTGAACAGCAGACAGCGCTTCACTCGGACAAACATTCTAATGAGACCGACAAATTCTATCAAAATAGATAGATAGATAGATAGATAGATAGATAGATAGATAGATAGATAGATAGATAGATAGATATGTTGTATGATTCTTCTCAGATTAAATCCAGTTTACAGTCGACGATGCTTCTATGTTTCAAAGACTCGTATTTGGAATATTTCGAAACAGTGTTATTCGTGTAGCTTTTGATTCCCGTTTTCTCAAGGCTTTACCAATCACCTCTAACTGATCTGCTTTTAATATTTTGTTCTTGTTTCATTTCATGTAAGAAACTAAACTCGATCAGAACTTCACATATTCGAAAATAAAACGGATTGAACTTTTACGAGCGTTTCATGGTTACACCCGGAATGAGTATGTTTTGCCGTGTGTGTGTTTGTGTGTGTGTGTGTATACTCCTCTCTACACTGTTCCAAGGATACGACAGGTTCAAACAATGTGTATTACAGTAAATAAGTGAGGATTCTCTCCTTTAGGAACCTCACCTCCAGGGTCGTCTCTCAGCACCGTCAGGAGGTAAGTGTTTGTTTTTGTTCCACGATGTCCTGATGAGGAAAACCCAGACAGGTGTTTTATTTACCTTTACATTATTTCCAGATGGTGCTGGTGGGAGTCACAGCTGATCCTTGATATCTTTATAAGTGTACTCATGGCAGGTCTCGGTCTCGCTCTTGGATATCCTTGGTCTCGATTTTTTTTTTTCGAGACCTTGAGGTGTGTTTAGGTAGGGGAAACGTCTCACCTCAAGGCACCACATTGACTAATAATACACTACATGGGTCTGGGGGAAAAATTACCATAACTAGGGATTTTTTTTTTAGGGATTTTTTATGGTCTTATACAAGGTTTCCAATATGGCCTGATGCCCCTATGTCTTATACAGGGTGTCCATCCACAAAGGGGGGTCATAGGGTATCGTGGACACCTTGTATTTTGACATAGGGACATCAGGAACATAGTGGACATCCTGTAATATAATTATTACTCCATATATCGTTAAGTCAGACTAGAGAGAGAGAGAGAGAGAGAGAGAGAGAGAGAGAGAGAGAGAGAGCAAATCAAAACAAAAATGAAAGAAAATTTTATCCTCAACTATGCAACATTGATCTTCACTTTCACACAGACGATCAACATCATCTTGATAGCCTTACCGTGCCTTCAGGATAATCGTCATTGGATGGATAAATGCTAAAAAAAAAAATATATATAACTACCGCAGGAGAAAGGACACTTAGACCCCGCCATTGTAAAACTCAAATCGTCGAGTGAAAATTTAGTTGCAGTTAATGTAAACAATGGGAAAAGCCATTTAGAATTGATGTATAGAACGAGTATTTTAAAACTATTGTCATCAAAGGGTTAAAACTATTTTCCTCAAAGGGTTAAAACTTTTGTCCTCAGAGGGTTAAAACTATCGTCCTCAAAGGGTTAAAACTATCGTCCTCAAAGGGTTAAAACTATCGTCCTCAAAGGGTTAAAACTATCGTCCTCAAAGGGTTAAAACTATCTCTCTCAAAAGGTTCAAATCATTGCCCGAAAATATATATAATTTACCGTGTCTTGTGCAACACTGCCTTGAGCTACGCCACTCAGGTAACTCAAGGTAATTATTCTCGTGCTCGTTGATAATTGCTCAATTATTCTAATAACCCTTCATTATCTATCTGTTGTCCATTGTGCTTTAAAGCGGGCGAGGGGGTGGTGAGAGTGGTTCTGTCTGTCTGTCTGTCTGTCTGTGTAAGTGTGTATCGTCTGTACGTATGTTTGGTTGTATGAGTGACTGACTGTCTGTCTGTCTGTCTGAACGCATGTGTGGGTGTATGAGTGACTGACTGTCTGTCTGTCTGTGTTAGTGTGTATCGTCTGTACGTATGAGTGGGTGTATGAGTGACGTACTGTCTGTCTGTCTGTCCGTCTGTCTTTCTGTCTGTCTGTCTGTCTGTCTGTGTTTGTGTATGAGAATGTGGCTGTCTGTGTCTGCCTGTGTTTGTGTATGAGAATGTGGCTGTCTGTGTTTGTGTATGAGAATGTGGCTGTCTGTGTCTGCCTGTGTTTGTGTATGAGAATGTGGCTGTCTGTGTTTGTGTATGAGAATGTGGCTGTCTGTGTCTGCCTGTGTCTGTGTGTGAGTATGTGTCTGTCTGTGTCTGTCTGTGTCTGTGTGTGAGTATGTGTCTGTCTGTGTCTGCCTGTGTCTGTCTGTGAGTATGTGTCTATGCCTGTTAGTGATTTATTACCTATTAACCACAAAAAATAGTCTATAGTATTAATCTAAATTTCAACATTGGATAAAACAATTTAACCAAAACTAACATAGTGTGAGAATTATATTGCCATTTTGTTATTGTTAGTAAATATTTAACACTGACCTGCAGACCAGCCTTAGTAAGTCAATGGGTAAATTATCTTGTTTGGAAAGAGTTAATGATCAGAAGATTTTTATAATGTTGCCTCGAAAAATCTTCACCATTTGTGAGGTTGTTTCGATTCTGATTTGTGGAGCATTTTTGTGGGCTTCTGACACTCTGCTGTGGTGTTGATTCATCAAACACTTCAATATGTCTATGGTTTTGCATCATATGTTGAGTAATATAATACTTCGAAGCTTCTGAAACTGTTGGCTTCATGAAATGCTTCGAGACTTCTGAAACTAATGGCTTCATGAAACGCTTCGAGACTTCTGGACTTGTTTTATTGCTGAATAATGAGACATGTTGAAACTTCCAAGACTGTCTGCTTCAGTTCCGACTAATGAACCGCTTCGACATTTATGAGACACTATCAGTTTCAGTGCCGTGTGATAAAATCTTCGACGATATTTTTAAAAGTCAGTGTGGGCGGAATTTAGAACAGGCTTATATCGAGTGTTCCTGTGGGTGAACTCTCATCATTTAGATTTCCTTGAGTTTTATTCTCCGTTTCAAAGCATAAAACTAGTGAACTCAACCTAATCTATCCTAAACCAAATTAACTTAACCCAACCTAACCTAACCTAATCCTAACCTAACCTAGTTTAGAAAATAACAGTAAAACATCCTAAGAAAAAGTCACAGGTATGTTTGAAGTATATAGTGACTCAGAGGCTAACAACATCTTGGACTCCTCACCTGAGTTCAGAAACAAAGTGGCTGACTTTCGATCCTTTCACTGCATGATTATTTATCTAGATGATCTGGGATAAAGTGACATTTATTTTTCTTTCGTTCATATCATTATTCATAGTTTAATTGTATTAATACATTGATGTATAGATTGACTGATAAGAGACAGAACAATAAGTTGAGAATTTCCATTGTTGTTCTTGTTTCCTCCTCACTAACTTGAGACGAAAACAACTTTACCGCCACCGCAAAAAAAAAAAGAAAATCGTCGTTACGGATAAAAAGTATCGTATTTCAGTGTTTGTTTTTTTCCTGCGGCGGTCGTTCTTGCCTGTGTCGTCTTCTTCCAAACCCTTGATTAAGTTTTTGTCTGGACTGACGAAAAGAGAAATGGCGTGCATGAATAATGAGGTCATACCGTCCCCTTCACTTAATACTTCTTCTTGCTTGCTTGTTCCTGCTTCCTCCCCCTGCCACTCCCACACATCTCCCAGACCACGCCCCCTTCTCCTCCCTGCCCTCCCTCCCTCCTGATGGTAGATATATAAAGCGAAATCTCTCTCATTCAAGCATATACTACCACAACTACTACTGTCACCACCATCCCAGTCCTCTCTCCCACTAGTACACACGCACATACTCACCAGCCATGAAGCTCGTGAGTACCTGATGGTCATTCTGGTGATTTACTTGGTGATGGGAAGACGTCGAGATTTAGTGATCTTACTACTGGTGACTTGTATTGGTGTAAAACGTCACACCTTCCCTACGATACTATCATCAAAATCGCCTATTGCATCGTCACCACTACACAATCACCACTATATCGTCACAACTAACACCGTGACTACCACACCGCCACCACTATACAATCGCCACTACATTCTCACCACTCTGCCGTCACCACCACATCGTCATCGCTATACCGTCACCACTACACCGTCACCACTACATAGTCACTACTACACCGTCACCTCTACACTTTCACCACTATACCGTCATCACTAAACGGTCACCACTACACCATCACCACCACACCATCACGACTACACCATCACCATTACACCGCCACCACTACACTATCACCACTATACCATCATCATTACATCGTCACTGCAGCATCACACTGTCATATTTCTGTCATGCGTTATCACATGTCATAAAACACTGCCGTGATCACCACAACTACCACATCATCACGATCACAACAATCACTACAGTCACCACCATAACTACCACATCATCACGATCACAACAATCACTACAGTCACCACCACAATCACCTCATCTGCCAGCGTCCCTCCTCCTCTCATAACACATCCATTTCCTGTTGTCACTTCACAAGGTCAGGAACCTCATAGGTTATTTCAGGTGATTTTGTCCCTTAACTAAATGTATAACTAGTTAAGGTCTCAGTGTGTGTGTGTGTGTGTGTGTGTGTGTGTGTGTGTGTGTGTGTGTGTGTGTTTACAATATACTTTACTTTGATACAGAATTGTTTGGTGAAATTTCTTGTTTATCGCCAAGACGCCGTGACGTCATCGTTTTATATGACTCGTGCAGGTGTTTCCTCATTACTATGCAGATGATAACAGGTAATTGCCTATTGACTCCCCTGGACTGTTACGCAACCTCTGCCGTGTCCTCTGCCTTTGTCCCTCACACGACACAATCGCCAGACAACGAAGCATTATAATTTCTATAGTTCTTGATATACGTCATTATCCTGTTCAGGTGATGTGTTGTTCACTGACTGATCAAGTTATATCTGTGTGTTATGTTGAGGGTGACGGTATTATGTTATCTTTCAACTCTGTATGTTTGGTCAAGAATTGGTAAGTTAAGAGATACATGGCAGACTGTTGCTGCGTCAGTGTCTGCCACGAGAACCAACATTACTGCCACATACGGCACTCTCATGCCAACACACACGTCCTTCCCTACATCATTCCTCCCACACCCTCAGGTACTGCTTGTCTGCCTGGCCGCCGTAGCCATCGCCGCCCCTGACTTTCACGGTCTACCGCCCGTAGTGATCCTCCGTGACGACCGTCAGGACAGCGGTGACGGCAACTTCAACTATGCCTTCGAGGCCGACAACGGTATCGCTGTGGAAGCCTCCGGCACCCCTGGCTCAGCTGGCCAGAGCAACATGCAGGGGGTGTACAGGTAAGAGTTTCATACTTCAGTTCTGTCTAGGTATGATTATTATAACCATTAAAGACCAGTGATAGGCAGGACACGAGTGATAGGCAGGACACGAGTGAGAGATCTAATGAGGTGCCAACAGCCATAGCTTAATATACATGCATCATGATCACAAAGGCAATAATAACTCCGTATCATCGTTCTTAAGGTTCCCGCTCCCCGACGGCACCTTGGCTGAGATCCGCTACGTCGCCGACGAATTAGGCTTCCGTCCCGAGTCTCCCCTGCTGCCCCAGCCTCACCCCCTCCCTCCCCACGCCATCGAGCAGATCCGCATCGCCGAGGAGCAGCGCGCCCAGGGCATCACCTTCGAATGATCCACTGATGACCTGCACTTTCGAATCTGTGGGAAGATAATGTATATGGGTCCCGCGTGGCTGTGTGAGAGAGAGCTTAAAAATATGAATGAATTGTTAACACGTTTAACGAATAAACTATTAATATATCTGTATTTCGCCTCTTATAACATTTTCTAGAAAAGTTTTAAAACACAGTTTTTTTATTCCAGTTTATTTGACAAGAATCACGATTGAAAAATGTATAAAGTTCATCAAGAATAACTTTTAATGATTGACAAACACTCGACCACACACACACACACACACACACACACACACACACACACACACACACACACACACACACACATCAATGGCTCTAGGGTGAGATAAGGCTGTCTTGTCCATACGTTGAAAGTTTCTAAAGTCGAATAAACTCTTTTGTACTCACCTGAAGGAGACTTTAGAGTAGTATATTAAGTTTCATAATCACACAAAGACAACTGTAGATATTTTTACTGCTAAGATCACCAAGCCTCAAACTCTTCTTCCTCTGGACTCTCTCACGGCCACATACAGGACCCAGGACCTGCCCCCTTCCCTACAGCAACCTACACAACAGACCTGTGAGAATATTACAGGTTAAGGGACACTAAATATTACCGGTCTCCTGGTCCTTATATCTCCAGCCATATGAGAGGACTTATAGCTACCTACCTGCCCACCTACCCACCTGCCCACCTGCCCACCTGACCACCTACCCACCTGCCCACCTGCCCACCTACCCACCTGCCCACAGGGACCCGATGACCTTAGGGAGACCTTAGGGTTTGTGAGTCACTAAGTTAGAACTCTGTGGAGATTAAAATCATCCCTGTGACTCGATCAAAGTGTGAGGATAATGACGACTTTATGCATTTAGACAGTAAATCGGTCCAAAGCCTCAAGTTTGTACCTGGAATACGTCAGATTTTAAGGGCAGATTTTGTGTATCAACAGAACAGAACAGGAGAGAATCTTGCTAAGCTCATATCCGCCCTAGCCATATGGTCTTAACAACTCACCCAGGATGTAGAGTTCGTGTGGGACGTTTCAGAGGTGGATTGAGACGCTGAGTCGATCCTCCGCCCAGGGACCAGGATGAAAGAAGGATGTGGTACTGATAGGACACATTATAAACAACTTGAGGAGTCTCCCTGTTGACTCTATAACCCCCTTACCTCATCATCTCATGGAAGAACTGCTGGAAGGATCACTGGAAAATCTTTAAGGATAACTGGATCACTGGAACCTCTACTGGAAGGATCACTGGAAACACCTAAAGGATAACTGGATCACTGGAACCTCTACTGGAAGGATCACTGGAAACACCTAAAGGATAACTGGATCAATGGAAGCACTACTGAAAGGCTCACTTGAAATACATTGAAAGATAACTGAATCACTGGAAGCACTACTGGAAGGATCACTGGAAACACCTTTAGGATAACTGGATCACTGGAAGCAGTACTTGAAGGATCACTGGAAACACCTAAACAATAACTGGATCAATGAAAGCACTAAAGAAAGGGTCACTGGAAAAACCTTTAATGATCACTGAATCACTGGAAGCACTACTGGAAGGATCACTGGAAACACCTAAAGGATAACCAAATCACTAGAAACACTACTGGAAGGATCAAAAGAAGCATTGTAGCATTATCTCCAACAACACATTTTCTTTATTGCGTTAAAATGAAAACGTCTTGTAGGGATAACTGAATAGCTCTCGGCTTCTTCCCTCCATCTACAGTTAATTACAATGTAACTGAAAAACTATATGACCTCATTTTTCCTTTATTGAATATTCGGTAAATGAATCAATTGTATCTTATATGTGGGAAAAAGTAAGTTGGTTTATATTATTGTTTGTGTTTTATAGTTATTTTATTTTGGTTTTGTTTTAATGAATATATATATCGATTAAAAATATATGTTTTAAATTTTTGGCGACCATGGTGTAAACCTTTCAAGACTATGGTTTAAGTTTAACACATTCACGACTGTGGGATAACTCTGAGGATAATAGTTCGTATCTCTGATGACGATGGTTTAACTTTTTGAACAAGTTGGTTTAACTCTTGGAGGATGATGTTTTACTGGTTTTTTTCTTCATCTGGTCGTGTGTGTGTGTGTGTGTATGTGTGTGGTATATACATCAACCAATAAATTAAACAGTTCCTTTAATTTTTATCACTGTGGACAAGAAACACTCACACGGACAATAAAAAAAATAAACCATTTACAAATCACAATTTATTACAAACACATTACACTTTCTTTCATTTCTCTTATAAAAAAAAAATTATAATAAAAAATCGTACAAACGTCATATATACACCATTCACGTCGTCCCCTTGAGAATATTCTTCAGGTTGGTTCGTTATCTTGGTCATCATAGGTACGGCATCGTCATTTACTCGAAGGTAATGCCCTCAGCCCTCTGTCTCTCGGCGATGCGCAGGAGCTCTTCTACGTGGGCGGGGTTAGGGTGGGGGGTGGGCAGGAGGGGAGACTCGTAGCGGACGCCGAATTCGTCAGCAACGTAGCGGACCTCCTCGTAGCCACCATCTTCACGTGGCATCCTGAGGCAGAGGAAGGCGATGAGTGAGGAGGAGGAGGAGTGGATGAAAGAGGGGAGGGAGGGATGGGGAAGAAGAGAAGGAGGAGGAGGAGGAGGAGGTTATAGAGGGAGGGAGGGAGGGAGGAGGAGTAAATGAAATATGGAGGGATAGAGAAAAAATGGGAGATAGGAGAAACAGAGATAAAGAAGAAAGGGGGAGAAAGAGGGAAGAGGGGAGAAGTAGGAAGTGTGGGAGGAGAAAGAGGGAGTGAAAGATGAGAAAGAGCAAGAGGAGGAGGATAAAGACAGGAAGAATGATGAAGGAGTGAGGGAGAAGGGAGGAGGTTTGGTGGCTGTGGTTGTTATCTCGTAAAGGAGGAAAGGTAGAAGGAGTGATGTAGGGAAGGAGGGGGGAGAGAGGAGGGAGGGAGGGAGGGAGGGAGGGAAGGAGGGAAGGAGGGAAGGTGGGTGGTGGGGTGAAGGTTACGGCCTGTGGCTATAGTAATGGTGTATCTTATGTGTGTGTGTGTGTGTGTGTGTGTGTGTGTGTGTGTATGTGTGTGTGTGTGTGTGTGTGTGTGTGTGTGTGTGTGTGTGTGTGTGTGTGTGTGTGTGTGTGTGTGTGTGTGTACTGGTGTCCTTAACTCTTTGGTTACTCATCAAATCACAAGGTTATACAACATTCAGTATATGGACAGGTAAGAGGCCATTACTGAAACACAAGGCACCACTACAGGCCCCGTGACTTACCAGTAGCTGCCCTGGATGTTGACTTGTCCCTGTGAGCCTGGGGTGCCAACAGCCTTCATGTTGATGCCGTGATCAGTCTCCAGAGCATAGTTGAAGTTGCCATCACCCTGATCCACGCGTTCGTCCAAGAGAACGTTCACGATGGGGCGGACCTCCTGGGGGGCAGCGACGGCCACGGCGGCCAGGCAGGCGAGGATTACCTGAAGGTGGAGGGAAGGAAGGAGAGTGTCACTGTAGGAGCCATGGTCGTACTTGCTTCGTCTAGTCAGTATCGGTCACGAGTAAGTATCTGCATCAATTTTATAATCTCAAAGATTCTTAACCTTCTGAGGCCGAAAGGGTTAACCCATTATGTTGAAAGATTTTAACCCAACGCCTGCAAGGACTTAAACCATCGTCCTGAAAGAGTTAAAATGTTGTCTTTTAATGGTTAATATATCGTCTGCAATGAATCAAACTATATCCTTCAAAGGGTTAAGCCTATTCCGGGAAAGGTAAAGTTAGGGTTTAGTCTCTCTATCTGAAGACAAAGGAAAGGTCGTAGAGCTGTCGTAGTCGTGAGTGGCTCACCTGGTCATGACCCGCACAAAAAAACTAAAACTACCTGACTGTCTTATATAAGTATCTGGTCTCAGAGGTTCAAAGGTTCACACGAAACTCTTTTTATCTCTCTAAGCTGGGTGTGTGAGACCCACTTCAGCCGCGGCACAAAGCTGATGACAGAAACGGTGTCCATATTCTACAGAGACTCTACCTTAACTAGATACTTTCACTCATCCAACCCAGCGAGGGAAGGAGAAGGGAGATTTGCCGTAGAGATCTCAGAAAAAAAAATCCAACCTCCTTACTGCAACCATTCCCTCCACACAAACCCGTTCCTTTCTTCCGTACAACTGAGATGGTTAGAAAAGTGCTGGTTGTTAGCGGTACTAACTAGTCAATATGGTAATAAGACAAGATATAGATAAATTAACAGGAAGAAAGAGTTGTAGAGTAGTTTGCTTGTTTGTTTTTTATTCGTTGAGAGAATGGTGGGTGAGGAGGAGGAGAGGGAATAGTGATGTTGCGGTAGTAGGTAGAGACGATAACAAAGGATAGTATTGATTGTGGTCACTGATAACAAGCGCGTGATATGGTAATGGTAATGATTATATATAGCTGTAGGATAGGAAGCAAGAAATAGTACTAGAAATGGTTGAAGAAATTGAACTGACAGTAGGTAACAAGAGATACCACTTAGTCATTGCCGGAATCAAATAAAAGTTTGTCATCGGAGGCAAATGTATCCAGGATGTATAGAAGTGACAAGTAAATATACAAATCACGACGAACTCAACAGACAGACACATATACCTTAGAGTCATATATATATATACTCACGAGCTTCATGTCTGGTGTGTGTGAAGACGTCGGGGACAGTGATGCCTACATGGTGGAAGACCTCCCTTATATACCCCCACAACGCTGTCTACTCCACGACACAGCCCCGGCCACTCACCGTATAGGGCAAGGCCAGGGCATGATGAGGGAAGGAGTTGATACCCAGGTGTACTCGTCTGCTGGGATTAAGTACACCTGCTAGTAATTTATCACCAGGTGTATCTCAAGGCTCAATAGCGGCTACACGGTGAAGAATAGAACCTTCAAGATTAACCCGACTAGTTTATGAATGTTAGGCGTCTAGTTTATCAGAATGGTTATGAAGGCAGCATGTTCTAACCCCCATCCTTCCTTCCCTTCTGTCCCTCCTATCTCCCCCCTACCCATCCTTCCCTCCTCCTCCTACCCCTTCCATTCCCTCTCTCTCCCTTTTTACTTCATCTCCCTCCCTCCCACGCCTCTCTCTACCTCTCCAGGCAAAAAACAGTTGAAGGGCAACAACTATCTAGCGTGTAAGGTCAAGCTATGGGTGTCTGGTAACGGGATTTCCGGAGCCTCTTCAAGCCAGCCCTCCCTTACACCGCTCCCCGTCCTGCTCCCCGTCCTGCTCCCCGTCCTGCTCCCCGCCCTGCCTCATCTCTCACCTACATCAACTACCCTTAAGAAACTTCTCACTTTACTCCATAGAGAAGAAATGAAGGAAATGATTTTAAAGTGATTATTATATACAGGTTTTATGTTTCTTTATCCGTGTTATAATCGGTTACCTGGCAGACAAAGGTAATAATGATCCAGGTCACAAAGACGTGATTATGCCGTATATAATTGATGACTTTGTAAATAAGGTATATAATTCTAAGTCATTATTGGTTAGTTAGATGATAGACGTTATGTAATTCCGTTCTATAATTACTCTGGTACAGACAAAGGCGGATGTTCTGTGTGTGTGTGTGTGTGTGTGTGTGTGTGTGTGTGTGTGTGTGTGTGTGTGTGTGTGTGTGTGTGTGTGTGTGTGTCAACCTTCTCCAGTTGTTTTTCCTCTATATAAAATTTATATATATCATCAAAAGTCAAATATTCATATATACACAAACTTCAAATTTTATCACTAATTTATCCAAAAAAATCTATTTTTTTTTCTTGTCAGTTCAACCTGGTGAAGACAATTGAGTTTTATATATTTATCATAACAATGTTTATGTTAATTTTCATATGTCATAATTTTTAACATTTTTTATTAACTCGTTTAAATACTTTGATAAATTATTGTTAATATACAGTACATTATATCTAGACTAATGCTCTTCCCATACTCCCTTAACCACTTCGATGTTTCAACCCCTTGAGTATGATGGTTTAACCCTTTGATTATGATGGTTTAACCCCTTGACTATGATGGTTTAACCCTTTGAGTATGATGGTTTAATTCCTTGAGTATGATGGTTTAACCCCTTGAGTATGATGGTTTAAGCCCTTGACTATGATGGTTTAACCCTTTGAGTATGATGGTTTAACCCCTTGAGTATGATGGTTTAAGCCCTTGACTATGATGGTTTAACACTTTGAGTATGATGGTTTAACCCCTTGAGTATGATGGTTTAACCCCTTGAGTATGATGGTTTAACCCCTTGAGTATGATGGTTTAACCCTTTGAGTATGATGGTTTAACCCCTTGAGTATGATGGTTTAACCCCTTGAGTATGACGGTTTAACCCCTTGAGTATGAGTATGATGTATGATTAACCCCTTGAGTAATGATGGTTTAACCCTTTGAGTATGATGGTTTAACCCCCTATGATTGGTTTAACCCTTTGAGTATATTGGTTTAAACCCCTTACCGTTCCTTAGTTTTAGTGCTTCAACTACCAGGGTTATTAAGCACCGTTCACTAGGTCTTAGTTTTAGGTGCTTCAACTACCAGGGTTATTAAGCACCGTTCACTAGGTCTTAGTTTTAGGTGCTTCAACTACCAGGGTTATTAAACACCGTTCACTAGGTCTTAGTTTTAGGTGCTTTAACTACCAGGGTTATTAAGCACCCTTCACTAGGTCTTAGTTTTAGGTGCTTCAACTACCAGGGTTATTAAACACCGTTCACTAGGTCTTAGTTTTAGGTGCTTCAACTACCAGGGTTATTAACACCGTTCACTAGGTCTTAGTTTTAGGTGCTTCAACTACCAGGGTTATTAAGCACCCTTCACTAGGTCTTAGTTTTAGGTGCTTCAACTACCAGGGTTATTAAGCACCCTTCACTAGGTCTTAGTTTTAGGTGCTTCAACTACCAGGGTTATTAAGCACCGTTCGCTAGGTCTTAGTTTTAGGTGCTTCAACTACCAGGGTTATTAAGCACCGTTCGCTATTGTGGGATAAACGATTGATTTGGTCTTGTCTGTCTGTTCCCAAAATTTAGTCGAGAATAGGTTGCCGGATTTACACCAAATTTTGTTGGTTTGATCAGCATCTCGAAAGGTCCACATGAATGATTTTTCTTCCGTAAATTGCAAAGAATCTGACCATGAGTTACCATGTTTAAATTATATATAATGATAACACATACAGGGTTTTAGAGTTGAAGAAAACGCTGATATGAGACAGTTTCCAGCCGTTACCTTGCCATGGGAACGGTTCGTGGGCAGGTGTTTGCATCAGCTCTCATGATGTTTAATTACCATTATAATTGGATAGTTAAAAACCGCAAAATATGTTTATTATTTTATTAAAAAAATACTTCGGTGTTTTCAGAGGTTAGAAAAATGGATATCTCACAGGCTACTGAGAGGCAGTTGAAACTGTTGTTGGAGAGGCAGAAACTGTTGCTGGGGCTGTATAAACTGTTGTCGAGACTGTTGAAACTGTTGCTGGGGCTGTATAAACTGCTGTTGGGGCTGTTCAAACTGTTGCTGGGGCTGTATAAACTGTTGTCGAGACTGTTGAAGCTGTTGCTGGGACGTGGGCAGGAGGGACGACTCAGCCCTGAAGCCAAATTCGTCGGCCACGTAGCGGACGTCCTCGAAGCCACCAGTTGGAGAAGGTAACCTTGAGGAGAGAGGAAGAAGATGAGGAAGTCTTAGTGCCTCTGGCTGTACGGAGAGATGTTTGAGGAACAGAAAAAGAGAAATTAATGTCTCTTAATGTCAGGTTCTCTTAGTTCGTGACATCTGGGATAAAGAAATGGCAGGGAAGGGTGACTGGTCGACCCAAAGATAACCCAATCAACTTGTTTCACCACTTTATTAAACAATAGACCTAATTCGTAATGGGTTTTAATGTTAACGAGATACAGTACCAATGGGCCTTTTATGGTTATGTCAGGTTAGGGCTTACCAGGACTGGGTTCCGTCCTTATGATTTGGTGATGTTGTTTGGGGATCTCTGAGACTCACTTGACAAAGAAACTTAGGGAGAAGAAACACCAGCACCCTCATGTCAGGTGAAGGTCAACACCTACCTGTAGGAGCCCTCAATGTTGATCTGTCCCTGTGAGCCCTGGACGCCGGAGGCTGCCATGTAGATGCCGTTGTCGGTCTCCAGGGCGTAGTTGAAGTTGCCATTATCGTCCTGTTGACGTTCATCACGGAGGACCTGTACTACTGGGAGGCCTTGCTGGAGCTGAGGGGCGGCCATGGCCACGGCGGCCAGGCAGGCGAGGATTGCCTGTAGGAGGGAAAAAAAGAGGTAATACGCGACTCTGACTGTTAATAATGTTAAAACCAAGACACCAACTGGAAATTAAACGACTCTCGTGGTCAGTGTGTGTGTGTGTGTTTGAAAACGATAATTCTATACCCGGCCATGAAATAAGAGGAAGGGGGGGGGGGGACTATAGTGTTACACCTGTGCCTCCGTACAAAATACAGTATGTGGACACTAATTTTAGAATGACTTCGCTGAACAAAACTACATAATAGAATATACTTCACATCAAGAGCATCTCGGTCGATACACCATCATTAAATAGAAAACTTGAAGCATTTGTTCCATTTTTTTTATTCACTAAACTTTAATTAACCAAATAGTTATTAAAAGAATAAATTAAGAAGGGAGTTTATTGTAAAGTCACAGTGCGTCATCTATGGATCTAACACTGTACCACGTCTCGGATTCACTGATTCATGAGTCTCGCGGTTCATAAATGAGAGAAACAACTACTAGAACTTTTTTTACTGCTTGTACAATACAGTCAGGGACAAAAAAATGTTCACTCCCGCCCAAAATAAAGCAGCATCGACCCCAAACAAGATGAAACAGTCAGAATTAAATCATTTCGGAGACTCATTCCCATGACTCAGTTTCACCACGAGGAACCAACTCTTATCCACGACTGTACATAGGAACATTAAACCCACAAAAGATGTTATACTCACGAGCTTCATGTCTGTTGTGTGCTCACCAGTAGTATGGTGTTTGGCTGGTGTAGACGGTCTCCTTTATATACCCATAAACACCATTAGGATAAAGGAGGAGGGGAGTGATTATGAGAGCGGTAGTTGGGATAGGATGACTGGTAAGGGAGGGTGGAAGGGATGTGGAAAGGTCAGCGTCCATGTGAAAGGAAAAGGTGGGAAAGGAAGAACTGTCCCATAGTGGTTCATAATGTATACCTTGTGGTTTATAGGTAACAGGATTCCTCTCTCTCTCTCTCTCTCTCTCTCTCTCTCTCTCTCTCTCTCTCTCTGTCTGTCTCTCTCTCTCTCTCTGTCTATCTATCTCTCTCTCACTATCTATCTATCTATCTATCTATCTATCTATCTATCTATCTATCTACCTTAGACCAAGCAACAACAGTGATTCAGAAATAAACTCTACAACGTCATAACAAAACGATAGTAATTATTCTGTAAGGGATAATCCTGTTCTATACACACTGACAGCCTCATAAAGAATATATTACTGTGTTATCTTATAGTCTAATAAACGCTATAAACATATCAATAAACAAACGGACATTAGTTTTAACTCAGGGTTGTGTTGTGATTATTTCGTCCGGCAGCTGTACAGTCGGGGTCAAAAAATCTCGAACACTTAGCAATATCTGTCATCTACTTCTGAGTCATACATATATGTTTGGGATATACTAATAACACTACTGGTCATCACATATTA